AATAATTACAGGGATATCACATTAACATCAGTACTGCAAAAGCTTCTTGAGAAGATTCTGTATAGGCGAATAGTGAAACGTTGTTCAAAAATTAAATTTCCGCACAAGGATTCCGGCCTCAATGTGGCAGTATAACAGCCGCCTTTACTGTCATTATCTGGAACGTAACTCTAACGTTTTTGCAGCGATTCTTGACAATGCAAAAGCCTTTAACAGCGTCTGGATACAGGGACTGCTGTACAAGGTATACAAATTAGGCTTTAACGGAAAATTCTGGAGGATACTAAAAGATTCATTTCATGTAGTGACAGTTTGTGTATTATACAATGGAAAAAAGAGTGAGGAGTACCCTATTGAACAAGGGGTCGGTCAGGGAAGGACTCTCTCTGCATGGCTCTTCCTCGTCATGATTAATGACTTAGTTACAAAGTTTGAGGTAAGCGGTCTTGGATTTAGCATTCAAAATCTACATATCCCTTGTGTTTTCCTAGCAGACGATACCTTACTATTAGCGGCTTCAATCCGGAATCTACAATTGCAGTTAGACATTGTACACGATTGTGCAAAAACTTGGAGACTCAACTACAATTTGTCAAAGTCATCATTGATGCAGTTTACCTGTCGGAAACGTCCTCCAAAGGAACCAGGGGTTCAGTGTTGTTTAGGAAATACTCCAATACTCTTTGACACATCAAAAGTATACGCGGGAATAACATTATGTTCCAACCTTAAACCCGACAATCATATCGTAAATTCGTGCAGAAAGGGACATGCAACTGTTAATAGCATAAACCCACTGAGTAGTCTAAGAATTATCAACTCAGTTATTCTTCCAGTTATGCCGTACGGATATGAACTGTGGGCAGCACCAGTCAAGTCATCAGTGGTAGAATTAGAACTACGCAAAAATACGCTGCTGGTCGGTGTCAGGGTTTCGAAAAGACATCGTCATCAGCAATAACTACAAGGGTTCTTGGGCAAACAGATGTTTGGTGTGAGGTTGAAAAACGCAAACTATTTTTTTCTGGAATAAGTTACGTAATGCTAGCAGTAAGTTCATTTGGAAAACCTTATTTATTGTTCGATTATGACAATACACATCCCACAAAGCTAGCTTTACTACAGATATATCGGAGACAATGCTAAAATTTGGTATACATTCGTTCTTTATGGAATTTGTATTTTCTTCCTTGAAATGCAGCGCGGGGCAATGGAAGCGTTTTATCAAGAACGTTACCGAAGTGTATTATTTCACTCAATGGTGGAATAGGTGTGATAACAGTGTGCTTCTGGAACATTATAGACGTATACATCCTCTTATAGGCGCGAATCCTCTGTGGAAGCTTAGCTTAAAGTATCCAAAGCAATTGCTTAGCTTGTTAAGCTCTCTTATAGGACCGTGACAGAGAGTGTAATTTGTAAACTTTGCCAAAAACCAACAACGAACACTACAAAGCATTTTCTTATCCAATGCCCAGCCTTATTCAGTAGTAGAGATATGCTTCTTGACCATATTGTAAATACGATAACAGTAAACAATTACAGGCAAGCATAGTTCAGCTTGGAGGCAGACACGATTCAGATGACAGTGCACCCTGACATGTTATTGGTGTAGTCTGGTCAAGAAGCAAAAACAAAATTACACAAGCCTTTTGACATTTGAGGTGACATTTTCAGTCTTATTTCATAAAATGTATCCAGTGACTTTCATAATTGTGCTGCAAGTACACTTAACCTTTCCTCATTCATGTTTGTAAGGGCATGACTTCAGACTGTGGATATCTCGCCACTTGAATGTTGTGAACATTTGTACATGAACTGGACAAGACTGAACATGACTGAGACGATTATCACAGTAATCGGCACAGCCAGAATACTTATAGCCACATCTCTTACGGCAACACTGCTGGACCGGGAGTCGTTCGCACTGATAGGTTTACGTCATGTCGCTGACAAGTTGGGTTTTGTTTACAAGTTCCACCCTCAGTTTTCAAATTACGAGTTTCGTCTCTTTCCCAGTTAGTTGTCGGCTTGTGTTCGCACAACACCTACCACAATTTAGGGCACTTTGCGTTGTCGTTGGTACACGTGTCATAGCGGTATCATCTAAGATATTAAAAAGAATATTTCAAAAAGGTTCAACTTAAAATCATAATATGAAGTTACGGATTTCTTGCAAATTTGTCGAACGTTCCGTCAAACATTAAATCCAAACGACCATTGAATGATCACAAAAGACGGCCAAATTTGGAATAAAGCATTGTTCTTCTTTTACAATTCATTTAGTGTAGCGTTCACCCTTGTGGAAGGCTTGGGGTTCTGTCCCCTTGCAGCGACACATCAGAGTTTTTTGAAAATTGCAGAGAGACGCATATTCGCTTAGACAGTTCCTTGTTCTCACTCAAAATCAACCACAACACAACTGTGTTTAGGACAAGTAACTGGTTTCTGGCTTACAGCCCACCTTCCCCAACCAGTGAGGGACCAGCTTGCATATGCTGTACAATAATATGAATTTATCTTCAAATTAGTCCAATGATGAATTGTACATTGTAAAGTATCAAAATATTAACAAGAGAGGCAAGCTTTTTCACTCACCTGAATAGTTCAGAAATCACATTAAGAGATTTTATATTTAGTTACATTGCTTAGTATTTCCAAAACATCTCAGGATTCACATCTTCATCTCTCTCTCTCTCTCTCTCTAACTCGTCCCTCTACATACTAAATGAATCGCATTTCCCATAAGATGTTCAAAACAAAATTTGGTTAAAATGCTTTCATTACCACATTATAAGAAATATTTACTTTTCTTTCCCCGCCCCTCCGCCTTGGGATTTAAACAAATTTGGACAACATAATGTCATTTCTACTAAAAGGGTGTTAAAACTTACTTCTATCAGTGCTTTGCCGCCACACCTTAAGTCTCGAGGCCAGATATAGCTATTTATACAAAATAAAATCTAATTAATGATGCTTAAGAATACATTTTGTCAGGGTATTTTAATCCAAACAGAAGCACGTTCACGCAAAATTTGCTTTCTTCCGTTTTTTTTTTTTTTTTTTGCCCTGCTCATCTTGATCCAGCATAATTAGTTCCCATTTCCCATTCATTTTCTTGGTATAACCAGGTCAAAATCCCTTCATCCTTAAAGAAGATTTAATATTTCTTTTTCCATCCGTCGTTTATTTATCACTGTATTCGACCAAAGACATTTTACACCAAACCTTGTCACAATCTCTTTGTTCTTAACAGAAGGATTTTAAGGAATTTGCTCACTCAAGAATACTGCCACTGACGATTGAGAAATTGTGGTAGAGGTCCCATTGTTCTTGGCTGTTAAGAACAATGAGATTGCCATTATGAATTTTAAAATATTGGCTGGCGTCTGACCAATTCAAATCGTTAGGACTGTAGAAATAGTTTGTTCCTGGCGTGAATCCATCTGAATACAAAAGGGATGCATTCTTTAGTCTATATGACCAGGCATAATGTTTCATTTTGGTTAATAAACCCGGTATTTGTCATAAACAAAAACAAGAAATTACCAGCATTTCAACAGAATATTAGGTCAATCTAATCCGACGATAAAAACACAAAATATGTGCAACAGACAGATCTATATTCAGACCCATGAAAACAGTACAAGGAGAACGAGACCTGGTCCTCGGGAAGTCATAATCAGGTACACAACAAATAAAGAGTTCCCATAAATACTGAATAGTGTACCTCAATAATGTTATGTTTTCACATTGTTTTACAGTAAGTCATATATATCCAACATTTTTGCGGTACAAATATAATTATGGACCATCGTCGGTCGTTTTTATATAGTTTTCAAGATTTTAGGTAGTAGACAATGCTGATTAACTTTAAGTTCCAGAGTTTCCAATAACCTGAATGCCAAGTTTTGATTCATTCGTGTGGCGAAACGTTTCAGAATTTACTGTACGGTTCAAAATAAACACACGCACTTCACATTAATGTGAAATTATAAGATATATGGAGATTACGAAATTTATTGAATTGTGGAAATAGTGCACCTCCCAGTCTTAATTCTGACTTTTCATTTGAACACTATGGATTTTCCTCAGAAGCATTACTGACATTTGATTATTGACTCGACTGTGTCTTCTTCTAAATTTGCATTGTAAAATTCTTATTCATTTGTGTGTCTGTTGTATAACCCTGAAGACTGAACGTGCGAATTGCCCTGGATTGCTTAGTCTGGAATCTTCACTTCTTTTTCAATGTTCTAAATACTCATTTGTTATCAATGTCTAAATAGATACGTAATATAGATGATGATTATAGGTATGTGTAGTCAAACAGGGAAAAGTTCAGTATTTCAGAATTATATTCATGCAGCTTTGTAAAAAATAGTGGCGCGCAACCCTAATTAAAAAAAAAGATAACAAAAACGTTACATTGTGTATAATGCTGGTAAATATTGAAGGAAGTGAGAAATGACGTTTAGTATGAGTTGGAGCACGAATGTTGTTGGACAGTGGAATGTGCAACAAATTCGTTTTCTGGTAAGCGAAATGTGAATCTGAACAATACAGTGAAAAACTAATTGTTGTGTGAGAAGCGGGTTATTCTCGTGAAGCGAACTGAAGTGAATCGCTACATACTAGATTTTACTTCAATACTTGTTGCACATGAGCTATATTGTGACAAATGGAAATTAACACAAGTTTTAATGTTATTTATACAGGCTTATTGTGCTTATATGTAGGGATTCTATTATTAGCGGAAGGAGGTAATTTGGGGTTGGAGCAAGGTGGTCCAACTGTCGCCCGCAGTGGCTATTTTTAGACCGCTATAAACATAAATGACGCAGCATTTTCTATTCAGAATCTGACAGCAGAATATGGTGGAACAAGGTTCGTACGGTCAAGGCCAGTTTATTTAATTTATATTAGTCTATTTATATCATTGGAAAACTAAAACATTTTCATACAATTTTAGTGTTCTTGACTGTAGCGAATGTTTGATGATGTCGTCAGTTGTCGTTTTGGGTCATAGTTTTATTCGTCGTTTGGACTTGAGCCTTACGGGTTTATGGACAAATCTAGGTTTTGACCCTCAGCAGTTACACGTATTGTGTCTTAGTAAAAGTGGCGGAAAAATTCCCAATATCTACGCTCGTGGTTTTACTGATGCTATTCAGCAAGCTAAGCCTTCTGTGGTTCTATTACAAATTGGAGGAAATGATTTGGATTGTGCTGACATTGAACGGGTGAAGGACACTATCGTTACTGACCTATTTTCGATAGCAGGGTGGTTAGTGCACGGTTTTGATATTCAGCGTGTTGGGTTTCTACAGTTGTTTTATCGCCAGAAAACTAGAGTGACACCTGTGTCAGTGTATAATGCCTCAGTAGATTGGGTGAATTCGACGCTAAAGCAGCGTTGTGCTGTTTCAAATGTTTGTATCTATTGGCGGCATAAGGGCCTTAAACATGGCGTCTCGGAAAATCTGTGTAGGGATGGTGTACACTTGTCTGATAAGGGTATGCGCAAGTACATCTACTCCGTGCGGGGAGCAGCTCTACCGGGTGTGCGATTGGCCGGAACGGGCACGTGACCAAATTTCCTATCTATAAAAAGTTAGGTCATAAATATTCATGAACTTCTGGTTTGTTTACTTGTACATCTCTTTTGGACTATATTGAGATAGCAATGACGTCAGGCGGTAGTCTACTCATGCGTGGTAACATTTTTGTACACGGGTATTTCCGCCCAGCTGTAGTGTGTAAACAATTCGTTATTGTTATTTTGGTCATTATATGTAACTTGTTTTCGTGAGAGTTGATGCGTGTCAGCGATACATTGTTAGATCGAACTAATCAGCTTATGCAATGGATAGGTCATCATGCATTTGATATGGTTAATATTATGTTTTGTTGAGGTTTCCTAGGTGAATTGGGCTCGGTTAACGTCGAGTATTATCCTGTACACGTGCGCGTTCTTTGAGGTCTCTCTATGTGAGATATTTACACAATGTGAGTTCACAAAGTTAGTCCGATAAGCTATTAGCTGGTTATGGCTGTCGTTTGTTTACAATTGATTACGGTGTTTTAGAAGCGAATTGTTACTATGTATGTGTTGGGACATATTTATACAACGTGTAAGTTGATGACTTGTTGTTATTCTTAAAACACACGAGTTTATGTATTTGTTTCACCACACGTGATTTCATGTGTGTGTGTGTTTTTGTGTTATTTAACCTTAAGAATAATTACGCATGAGTTGATGTGTTTATCGAAAAGTTTTACTATATATTGCGCGTTTCGTTATTGAAATAGTAGTGACTATTGGTTCCCATTGTATAGCTGTCGGTTATACACACAGGTGTTGTCTCATAGTGATCATTTGATTATTGATATTGAGTTCATGTGTCTGCTTCACCACACGTGAGTTCATGTGTGTGTGTTTGTGTCTGATTATTGACACGTGAGTTCATGTGTCTGTATCACCACACGTGAGTTCATGTGTGTGTTGGTGTCTGATTATTGACACGTGAGTTCATGTGTCTGTATCACCACACGTGAGTTCATGTGTGTGTTGGTGTCTGTTTATTGACACGTGAGTTCATGTGTCTATTTCACCATACATTGGTTCATGTGTGCGTGTTTGTGTCTGATTATTGACATGCGAGTTCATTTGTCAGTTTTGATGGATCCGTTCTTACCTTAATATATGGGTTACATATTTGATTCACCCCATAATTTGTTTTCCCAGATACTTCTTGATTTATTAATTTACAGATCACGAGTCCACTCCGAGGCGGAGGACAAGACGGAGGGCTGCCCACCAACATAGTTTATTGGGCAGTAGACGAAGATCATCAAATTCCCCACCGCAATTCAACGACAGAACTGCTGGCACCGACAATTGATAATTCCGATAACACAACCACACAAGCCTACAGGCCTGCACCAGATTGCCCCATCCCTGCCATCCCACCTACTCGGGATATTGTTCGGGAGCTATTTGATATGATGAAGGCAGAGGGTTATTTAATACCATCTACTGTCTAACCTGCCAGAATCTCGGAAACTTCTCAGCCAGCAGCTGCCCTCCAACAGGACGCAAACCTCAATGGGAATGTGATAACCCAAGGGGTCCGTCAGCCTGGACCAGCAGCAGCAACAGGGTCACCAGCTACTGGCTGCAGCTTCTGTGAACTTTCATGTGGGTGAACCAACCATGACTGTTAGATCACCATTCCAAATGGACATTCAAAATCCAATCAATCAGGTGTTGGCTAATGTGTCTGGTGAGAATGCCATCAATTCATTGCCCACCATTTCCAGACCTTTGGACCTGCATGTAGATGCGAAATTAAAATAAAAAAATTTGGCGGGTGAATTTATTGAATTTGGCCTTTTGATCCAAAAATCTTCTGATCCGGAACAATTCAAAATTCAATTTCAAAATAATGAATTGGCTTTGATTCCTAAACAAAAACACATTCCAGATTAAATCAATTGAACAGTGGCTCTCTGCTTTTCACATTTTTGTCCACATATATGTGCAGTCTCACCCTCAGGCTATTTCAGGTCTGATGAAATATGCCGACATCGTGCAGACTCTGTGCAGAAGGTCTGGATTTGCTGCGGCGTTATATTACGATAATAATTTTCGTCGTTGGCATCAAATATTTCCCCAAACTTCTTGGGGAAATGTTCATTCTGAATTTTACTTGGAGGCTACAGCCATTGGTTCCAATTTTGCGTCACTTTTGCTTTGCCTTATTTATGCACAAGTTTTGCAGAAATCATTGTGGCAGATTATGAGCCCCATCTAACACTTGTTCGGTAAATTTTAAATGATAAACTTTGAACTAAATAACAAATGTCGTTTACTATAATAAAAGGCCAGATTCAATTCACATCTTGTGTTCTAGTTGTTATTTCTATGACGGTCTTACTAACTTGCCATGGTGGAGGTCCGGTATAAATGCAAATTAAAACAAGTTTTAATGTTATTTATACAGGCTGATTGTGTTGATATATAGGGATTCTATTATTAGCGGAAGGAGGTAATTTGGGGTTGGAGCAAGGTGGTCCAACTGTCTCCCGTGCGCACTAATTCGGTGGCTATTAGACCGATATAAATATAAATGACGCAGCATTTTCTATTCAGGAGCTGACAGCAGAATATGGCGGAACAAGGTTCGTATGGTCAAGGCCAGTTTATTTAAACTTGTTTATACTTGTTCGGTAAATTTTAAATGATAAACTTTGAACTACATAACAACTGTCGTTTACTATAATAAACGGCCAGATTTTTTTAAATCCAAACTATGGCCTATGAAATTTCTAAATCCGCTAAAACAACAGCTACCGGAGAAAATATCCCGTTCAAAATAAATAATTCAATTTTGACTCTGATTATTCTCAACCGTCCTGTTTTTTACATTGTTTGCAACTTTTATTGATTTCTCCTACTGGCATTCTAAGTTTCAATAATTTCTAATGTGAATTTAAATAATTACACCACAGCAAGGCAGCACATCCGGGTCAACCTGTCACACCTGACAGGGATGAACGCTCAAATAAATGCTAAATGTTAGGGATTGTCACAGGAGAAATCATAAATAAGAATTATCCTCACTGAATACAAATACGGCCACAAAGAAAATCGTATTTCATGATTATGTAATTGGTACAACACGTACATTTCCTACGTTCTACCTACAGTGTTGATTTCAGCAAGTAATAGATGTTTAAGTAAAAATCTGGCATGGTTTTATATTTACAAAACAAGAGGTGTACATAAAGTGTTAAGTATATATGCTTTAATTAAAACAATTAAAGACCATTACATTTTTTAAAAACACATTGCCAATAGTAAAGGTGAAGGTGCACAGCTGAAATGTAAAAATGAATGGAGTAAATGGGAAAAACTTATTGAATTATCAGATAGTTAATTTTTTTTTTTTTTTTTTTTTTACTTTTACTATTTTAACCTAGTGTGACAATTTCTGTTATCATTAATCTATGTATTAAAATATTTGCATATTATCTATGTGTAATACAATGTATATATGGATATGATTATTTGTCCCATCTCGAGCTCCTGCAGTATATCCTATACCATATTGTTAATAATTTAAGCAAGCATACTAATTATTAAAATGGATGTCTGATCTCCTGTCCATTCATCTCCCTCTCTCTCTCTGTTTCTTTCTTTCTCTCTCTCCCCCTCTCCCTCCCTCCTTCCCCTTCTGATTTCTAGTATCTTTTTTTTTTGTCTCTCTTATTAAATTGTAATATGTATGTGAGGGTGTGCATGTGTGTGTATGTGTGTGGAAATACTGTATAGATGTTACATCTTAGTGATGTTGATGATACTTTATCACAGTGTCTTGATGATGATGATGATGATGATGATGATGATGATGATGATGATGATGATGATGATGATGATGATGATCAATTGATGATAAAATGATGATGATGATGATGATCAATTAATGATGAAATGAGAATGATCAATTGATGATGAAATGATGATGATTATGATGATGATGATGATGATGATGATGATGATGATGATGTTCTGTTTGACTTTTTCTTTTTTTTAAACGATGGTACAGTGAAGCAATGTCACAATTACATCCTATCCAATCTTCCGGGCTTATTGAAACCCTTCGTGTAAGAGAACTGGTGTTTAGAGATGACCAATCAGTCTTTTATACCGTGGCAGCAATGTTTTGGAACAACCTAAATAGTGGATGAATAATTTCCAAATTTCATGTGTAAGTGCACCTTGGGCTATAGTTGTACATATCAGGGAACCAACTGACCATTCATCTGACTGACTTGTTTTTATTTTCATACGAGGTTGAATTTATCATAGAGCTTATCGAAATAGGTCATTAACACATCACAAAGTTCTTTAATTTCACTTTCGGTTATTTTAATGACTTTTTAGTCGTTAAATAACATGAGGTTAAATGACTGCGTCCATCATATATTCTCACCAGAATTGGAAAACGAGGACACGACAGACTCTTCTTCATCAGCCGTATATCTTGATTTGTTTCCTACAACATAGACAATTTTCTACCAAGCTGTATGATAAGTGTGATACTTTCGATCCCATACCCTCGGCCTATGGTGTTTACTTGTATGTGTCGCAGCTGATTCAATATCCAAGTGCCTGTTTCCAATATCGCGATGTTCTTGCAAGATGACGACAATCAACAGACAAACTCACAACATAGGTTTCAAGCGATGTAAGCTGGTGAAAGTTAGGAAGAATGTTTTTTGTTATGTGCTAGTGACCTTATTGACAATTTTTTTAAATTTCTTTGTGCGATATGAAGCTGAACGTGTTTCATGTTCATTAATTTCCACGCTGGGTTAAAGGAAGTGACATAACTTATTAGATTTACTAATATTTATATGGTGAGAATCATCCTGTTGATGAACCAGGAGATAATTACTCTTCCGGAACATCTGGTCTCTTTCACGGCGTACTTTTACATGAGTATCCATGTAAATACCTATTTCGTTCACATTTTGCCCTAGTTTTATTTAATTTGAGTTTGGATCATATTTGTATTGATATGTT